CTATTAAGTGTTTTAAAGTACGACTAATTTTAGTTTTATATAACCTCATGCCATAAGGGTAGTTTAACCTATTTAAAACAAAAGGAAGAATACTTTATATCGCTATTACTTAACGTAATGAAACTCTTTTGCGTTGAAGGTAGGAAACGTTGATTAATAGCCGAGGACAATGTGCTATAGCTATTGACTACACTATGAGATCGATCACTGCAGATTCTTAAGGGACATATATAAGAAAGAAGCCCTGATGAAATACCTAGCTAAATGTTCGTTGCACCACGCTATGAAATTAAAATGCTAGCTCTCTTGTGTTAATTTTTTGTGGATATTTCCGGCTAAGTATACTATTCTAATAATAAGTTTAATCATTTTCTTTCTGATAAACGTTATTTTGGAAGTCTAAATATTCCGAATACTTTGACTTGCTTTCTGAAGTGCAACCATCGGCATTACATTGTACCTTCGGCATACTTATTGTTCGTATCATTCAATTGTCACTAGCGTAAACAATATATGTAAACAACATGTTATGCCCCGAAAATGAATGGAGATTTATAAGTTTCTTGACTTTATTGCAAAACAGCCGCAGTAAGTTATACAATTCGAGGTAATTGCGATACTAAGTGTTCTGAGCATTCAAAAAATATCTGTAAGGGAGTAGTTTTATCTCTGGGAAATTTAAGGTATAATCGTGAACCATTGTGTATTACACACAATTATACATGTATTTGGTAAAAATTAAACAGAATGATAAAATTAGTTTCAAGGCTTAAATCCCCATTAGACACTGACATAGGTGTGCAATAAAATAGATAAACACAATAAAATATCCGAGAAAACAAATCTTGAGTACGTTGCAACTCTTTGTCTATGGGTATGTGCGGTGGAAAAAAAAACTGGTATACTTTATAAGGCATACTTCTGGAGATATCTTGGATATCCCTTACCAGATTAGCTTAAAATTGAATGTCAGTGTACCTTAAATAAATGGATCAATATTGTTTTGACAACACATTATTAACTCCTTGGTTTTGACTTTTCTTATGTACTAGTAAATTCAATATTGCAATTTCATATCAACCTATTAAATCTTTAAATAATAATAATAATTGATTCATATATAATTTAACTGATTATTTGACAAGCTTTGTTTCCCCGTCTCGTCGAACACATTAGCAGACTATCCATTCAAAGATAGCCTGATAAGCAACATACGGAGCAAGTACTGGGTGCTGCTTATCCTAGTGAGACTCCTGACCAATCACTTTTATTAATCTGCCTATCACAGTGCTCTAATAGCTTAACTAAATATCAGAACTAGTCCATCCGACGGAGGCGAGGAACCAATTTGATTTTGACCATCTTTTTTAAAAAAATTACCAGTTTATTTGAAATATGCCCCCCCCCCCCTTCACACAAAGACTCGCTTAACCAAATTATACTTTTCCCTAGAATGTAATCTAATAGCTGCGATTAATTGAAGCTGGATTAGGATCTATATCATTTGCCAATTCCACTTTTATATCTAGTATTAGCACAACTGCAACATTTCCTACTTGTTTCTTTTTTGCAAATCTTTAATTACTATTCTAATGAATTACTGGGGAAGTGATAAGGTCATGCTTTGATGGAAAGGAATGTTGTGCCCATTGCAGCTGTTGACTCACTGATAAAGCTGTCTTAAAAAAATAAAATTAAAAATGTTGACCTGTTTTTGGTAATGTACCTGAAAATAAATAATCATGGTAACATACATCTGTAATCACTATCAATTACTTAAGGTTTTTTATGTACTTACTGCCTTTTGTACCAATATAATTTGCTCCTTGCTTGTGCCTGAACCCTGCAAATTTGCCTACCTATTCTAATGCATATGAAGAATACTTTTCCACAGCTTTGCTGCAGTTTGACTGCTCACTGTGAGACAAATGCTTGCAAAATTAATAAGAAATGTTTTCATCCTATTTCAATAAACTGTGATTTTGCTTTCATTAGTTGGATTTTTATGCAGAAATTGACCATGTGGACCAAATGAGCTCCCATATGTTGTGTAACATAATATACAAGTTAACTCCCATCCCATTATGTAATAGGAAAATCAGTTCATACAATATCATCCATAAAACCTTACACCTTTTTGTTTTCTTAAAAAAAAAAAAAAAAAAGATGACAAACAGTTCTGTTCCAAACCTTTTCAAAAGATCAACGGAAATGATACAAGTCTGCAAATAAAGCATAACACTTACACAATTTAATAAACCTCCTCTCAGTACACACAGTACTTTGATTACTTGAAAAGTGAAAGTGCACAAATTCTCGTGAATGCTTTCTCCGATTTAACGACGATTACATTTTGTAAAATGCGAATCAATATATACCTCCTTCGAGCACGATAAATCCATGTAGAAAACAAACTAAAATCCTTCTAGTAAGCCCAGCTTCTGAGAATATTCCGTGTTTTATGAAATTATCCCCCCCCCCCCCCGTTATAGCTATGATGGACTCGAAGTTTAACATTTCGCTCCTAAAAATAATAACTCAAGTTAAACAATCATTTGACCCCCAAACTGATCTTAATATATTCCTGTTACCTGTAAAGTCTCACAAATTACAACATCGCGTAAAATCAATTCAATTTACGAAAAAGTCCAATCAGGCCAAATCCAAAGTCAAACTTCGCCATCGATACGTCTAATTTGCTTTGAAACTACAAACCTCAATAGTTATACTAAAAATCAAACTTATTTGATTTAAAAAATTTAAAACATTGCCACAATTTAACTCCCAAAAATTTTCCATGACCTTACCGTTTAATTGATTCTTCTAGAAAGGAGGTAGAAAAGAACTTATTATTAGACTATATACAAATGGACCTAAATTATCCGGAATGATAGCTTGTGACTAAGGGTGAAAATTTATATTTATCCGAATGTACGTAACTTATCCGGAATAGATAAATATTACTAGGGTTACTGAAATAAACTCACTTATCCGAGACCAGGCTCGTATAAGTGGTATTATTAGTAACGTCATATATAATGGACCTACATGTATTCACAATAAAAAAATGTTTTGCCAGATATTTATTTTAGAAAATGTTTATTCTTGAGGGTTTTTTTTCCACAATAAGCGTTTTAAACGAACAATAAATTGCTTTTTTCGCGTATTTTGTGAAATTTATAATTTTTTATTGTTGTATGAATTAAATGTTAACGATTGATTCACAAATTAGTGATTATTTGATGCATCAAAATTTAAATATAAAATCAAATTTCATATTGGCCACACCCACGAACAACAACGATAATAAGCATAAAGATTTGTATCGGCAATATCTATATCTATGGTAAGTATAAAAGTTGTTCTTGACTGTGGCCACAACTAACTTTGGAAAAATCTGTCGAAAAATCGGCATTTTTTAACGCTTTTATCACACCATCGCACGTTCCAACCGTCGCACGTGCCTAATGGCGCATTATTTAACAAAATAAGTTACGTATGGAAAATAAGTATGTTGTCCTCTAACATTTAATGTATAGGACTCTTGTTGAATCAAAACTTTATTTTTGTGAAAAACACAGGGCCAAATTTGATGGTTCGTGGCTTTAGCTCTTTTAGCATTTTGCAAAATTAGGACTTTTTGTCTGTGACTTTCTCAGAATAGTTGTCAAACAGGCAATAGCGATAAAAATAGATATGAATTTTATTCAAAAGGATCATATTGCCTTAAAAAAATTGCATGACAATTTTTTTTTTTAATATTATTTCAATTATGCGGTTTGTTTGTTTGTTTGTTTTTTTATTGTTTTGTTTTGTTTTGTTTTGTTTTGTTTTGTTTTGTTTTTTTTTGAAGAGTATAGTTTTTTCACGTCTGGGAAGTTGATTTTGTAGGGGTTTTTTTCTTTGTCAAGAAATATCTTGGTTGAATTTTTTTTGAACTGGGATTGAACCCCCCCCCCCCCCCCCGAAAAAATTCCTGGATCCGCGAGAGCAAACAATATTTTTTTCCCTCCTTAAAGGTGGATATTTTTATTTTAGATTCTGAAACCTGCAGTTTTATGAGACCTAATGCTTCCGCGCGCGAGATTGGAAAAAATTAGATGAGCTAATTTTTATAAAAAATTTTGTTTGTTTTCCCGTTTTTGTGTCACTGAGTTTCTTTAAGCATTATGTGAAATTATCTATCACTTCTAAACCATGCAAAAATAATCTCAAAATAGAACGTTTATCGTAAAGTGTACAAAGGATGACAACACTTTAGAAAGGATAAACTTGTAAAATTTAATACTTCACTCAAAGTGGCAATTCATCTGAAAGGGAGACCTGTATCAATTCACAAGGTCTATGGCAACATGCCCAGATCACCACTTCGAACATTTTAAAGAAATTACAACCTTTTTACCTATTCAAATCCAGAAATGCTCGAAGGATATAAGGTTTTTTCTGTTACTTTTCTATGTCTTAATTTTGTAACATCTTTACACTTTTCTTTTTACTTTTAAACTTTATCAACATTACATGAAATAGACATTTCACGCTAACAGTACCATTAGTATTTAATATTAAATGTACTGATCTTCTATTTTAAGTGCGAGTGATGGAGTACATATACATTGGATTTCTAAACTTTAAGAGTCGCTTAAAATTATTTTAAAACCAAAACAAACTTACATCAAACAGAATGTAAACGTTTTTTATTTTCAAAAAATACTTGATTTACAAATTTTAAGATTTAGTGAATTTGTAAAACAAAATCACATTTAGATATCAAGTGATATATATATATATATATATATATATATATATATATATATATATATATATATATATATATATATATATATATATATATATTGCAGCTATAAAACATTTTAGAATGTGCATACTTCAAATCAAGCTTGATTTGTGTGTGTGTGAGGGGGTGTGTGTGTGTGTGTGTGTGTGTGAGATATCGAATACTGCACAAAAATATGAGATACTTTTCGAAAAATAATTCTTGCTTTAATTGGTTTATCGTTTTTATTGTCAGAGTACCGAATGTTAGACTTCATTTCATATTCGAATATTTACATAAGCTTTGGTTCCGATAAATTCAGAAGTTCATACTCTCAGGAACAACCACTGATGAACAGGAATACAATATACATCTTATGTACCTGTATCTTTCAACATCTCAAATTATGGCATCAAAATCCCGCGAGCAAAAAATTCCTTCAACAGTTTCCACTTATGTAGTTAAAGTTTAAAATTTGTGGTGTATTTTTAATGCGCTTTACGAAATTGCATGCAAAAAGTTTAATACCATACTAACTGATAAAAATGAAGACATTTCTTAAAGTTGCTATAAAAATGCTCACTAAAAAGATCTAATTTCAGGGTAGGTTTATGGAGTTAAAGTGATCTGACTTTTGATATAAGATGGAATAAACAATAAATAAAAATATTTTTTTTAATATTGTAAAAATGATTCGCTATCAAGCTACCATAATTTTATTTCTTGAAGGTATAATTTCATTTAAATAAAGGTTTAAAGGATTTTCAGACACCGATTGAAAATATATATTCCTATTTATCACAACTTTGAAGTGGATTCCTTCTAAGTCTCTCAGCAAGAGATTTTCTTTTCTTCACTTGAGGTAACAGGCTTTGGAAGCATGTTTACATCAATGTCCAGATCTACTCTCACAGACTTAAGTCTCAGATCTACTCCATTATCTACAAATGTAAAGTGAGAGTCTCATATAAGAATACAAGGAAATAAGTATAACATGTTGCCAGATTACTACGATTTATCACTTTTAAATCTCCTTCATTCACCAATACTTGTATGCTCAATTACAAATATGTATACAATTATATCGAAATTCATCATTTGGTTTAATTACAAGTAGTTCTTTATTAATAAAAAAAAATTTGAAAAGTTTGTTATCGTCATTTACAAAATTTTGATATTTCTTATTCAAAATTTGACATAAGAAATAAATTTTTTGTAAAGGACAATAACACTGGGTTCAAACTTGATACCCGTCTTCAATATCCTTTTCTTACTATGCAAATTAATTCTCCTTCTTTCATATTCTTTGTTCAGTTTTGCTGCCAAATGTGGTTGAGTTCCGTTTCTGAGTATTGCGTCCACTAATGCTTTGAAACATGCTGGTCCTTTAAGGATGAGAATGTCTAGAAATCTCTCTGCCCTCTGTCTGCGTGTTCTAAGAGATTTTATTTCCTCTTCATCTTCGCCTGTCATGACATGCTTTGATCGTAAGTAAGCGTAGTAATTCTCAGGTTCCAAATATTTACAGAGATAAAATCTCTGATCTTCCAAAATTTGTAGAATCTGAAATAAGAAGTTTTGGATTAATGATAGTCTTGGATTTTTAATCCTTCTATATACAAATTCAGTTATTTTTCTTTATGAAATCTATTGGAAATCGACAATATTCAACCCAATATAACACACGAAACCTTGTCACGGCGCGGTAGAATACACAGTAGGAGCTAAATATAATTTCACAACAATCGTCGGTCCTATAATCTAACAGCACCTGGCCGACCGACGACGTCCAAATTTAAGAATGTTATAACAGATTTGTTGAATTTGTTATAACAACTTTAATTCGTTATTACAAATTTTAAAATTCGTTCAAACAAATTTGATCAGTTATAGCATATTTTTGAATTCGTTATAACGAATTCAACACGTTTAATTCATTATAACGAATTCAAAAATTTGTTATAACGAATTTAAATCTTTTTTAACAAATTCAACGATTCATTATATCGAATTCAAATATAGCTGCAGAACTGTAGCTCTCTGGATGAGAAAATTCGGACAGATAAACCAGAGAGCTACAGAAACCTTCGATTTACGCCCCCACTTTTTTTGTCGCTCGCTTCGGATATCATTTCTTGTATTTTATGCATTACCCCGCTTCAAACATTGTCTCCGTTAATTAATCATATATTTTACTCCTATCCTTCATACTTTATTTACTTTTCAACGGTTCCAAACAGCAGTTTATGGTTTTGGAATGTCAGTTTAAAAAATCCCATTTCGATGTCCATGTTAGAGGTTGTGAAAAAAAAAGTCTTTCAAAGAACATATACTTGCCGAGAAAATGTAAATAAAAAATTCCCAAGGTTCACAAATCATGTAATATGTTGTCTATAAAAAGGACAATTTGTATGTAAAAAAGAAATGAGATAAATAAAACTCGGGCGTGTTATTTTAGCATATCAACATGGACGTCGGAATGCATATTTTTAAATCAATACTCCAAGACCACATAGGGCTGTTTGGAAGCTTTGAAAGGTAAATATAGTATCAGAAATAGGAGTAAAATACATGATGATACCATGTTCGAAGCGGAGAAACGCATGAAAAACAAGAAATCATGCCCAAAGCGAGAGACAAAAAAAACCCCCAAACAAACAAACAAACAAAAAAACAAAAACAAACAAACAAACAAACAAACAAAACCAAAACAAAACAAAAAAAACAAGCATTCTGAGAGTATTGCATAAGCAATACTAGTCCCCTATCGGCAAGTGTAACCTGGTTCCCGTAAAAAATTGAAAATGCCATAATTCCGTTAAAAATCATTGAAGCGGAACGAAATGCAAACTTGATCTATAAGTAATCAAGGTTAAGTCACACACCAAAAATCACCTCAATATCTGCAAGCGTTTAGAAAAAAATCGCGGAAAACCCTTAAAAATTGAAAAGGTCCTAATTCCGTCAAAAATCAATGAAGCGGAATGCAAACTTGTTCTGTAACTCATCAAGATACACTCACATACCAAAAATCAGCTAAATATCTTCAAGCGTTTAGGAAAAAAGTGTGGAAAACCAAGTGGGACAGACTGACAGACAGACAGAGGGACAGACGGACAGCTAGACAGATAGACGGACGGACAGACTCAGAGGAAATCTATAGTCCCCTCCGGTTTCACCGGTATAAGGGACTAAAAAAAAACGGCGGCGTAAATTGAAGATTGATCTGTAGCTCTCTGGTTTATCTGTCCGAAGTTTCTCAACCAGAGAGCTACAGTTCTGCATCTACATATAATTCAAATATTATTTTTGATAAGTCCTAAATGGGCTTCCGTTTGATAGACTGTACAGTAAGAAAACAACATTAAACAATTAAGTACAGATGTGTTTCTAGCATTCAAACCAAATACATTGTCTAAAATGACCTTTTAAAAAGAATATGATTTTTCTTTGGCGAAAAAAAAAATATATATAAAAAAAAACAACAACATAAGAATACTGTCTATTCAAATAGCATGTTTTGCATACACATACATAAGAAAATATCCTATAAAACACTTTAAAGCACATATTAATGGAAATAGTAACTTCTTAGGGAAAAAATGATGCTCATACCTCCATTTCTACGTCATCATTCGTAATGCTGTTGCTTTTCATCATATTAGACTGGGTTTCTCTACCGTTACATCTGCAAGTCCCTCACCACTCTTTTTCCCCCGACGTTTAATAGTGATTTCCCTATTAGGCTGATCTATACACTTTTACACTTCCTCCTGTGTAGGAGGAATTGTTCACATTAAAAGCCTTTGCATAAACAAGTTTTGTTCCGGGATTTTTTCACTACGTGCTCCTTTGATCTGTTTAGAATCTTTTCTTTTACTATACCTCTCCAATGTAATCTGTGATTCATCAATCTTCTAACGATTTTTTTGTTGTTGTCTGAGCTAATGGGGTTCGAGTATATTAAGATTTTCTATGTCTACGTAGTACGTTATATTAACCCACTTTAAAAGGTACATTGTACAGGTAATATTATTTCCATTTCGGGCCTTGTTTGGAAATTGCACTTACGCAAGTTTATTGTCATTTTCCCGAACAAAAATAACATACATGTGTACACATATATATCAATTTATAAACATATAGAATGTAAAATTAACCTGATAAACGCTGTAATTAACTACGAAAAAAATTCCATTTCTAGCATTTCAGGAAAAATTGATATTTTGTATTAGGAACAATTTTAATTGAATGATTAAAAGTTTAGACGTGTTAAATTTTCTTGATTCACTGTCGGTCAAAAATTAAACTCCTTTGATATAGAAATTAATTAGTCGGATCGCGTTATAGCTTCCTTGTTTGAGGGAATTAATCATGTAAAATCAGAACTGACCACCAATCCCATGTTCAGTTTGGGAATATATATTTAAACTATAGAGATACTAAAATATAAATATTTTTCCGGTAAGGAAAAGAGCGGTCCACGACACAATAACAGGGTAACAGAGAGGTCTTTCTATACAAAATCTTCTAATAGATCACACATTTCAGTGTATTTAAGTTTCATTATTGAAACGTATAAGCTTCTCATGGTTTCTAAAACCATTTTAAGATATTAAAAGCTTGTTTTTTTATTGGGACCATCATTCTTAAGATTATAGTAAAAACCTAAAACTTTAAGCAAATGTTTAAGCATGACTTCCTTTCGTGATCAATACAACAATACGATCCATTATCCTCATTTACAGTGCATATTATATGTAGAGTACATAATGCTCCTAAACATTTTGTATTCAGCCGTGACTTGTTCAAGTCAGATCTTTTCCCCACCAGCGACATCTGCTATCAAAACCTTTAGCTGCGATTATTCTTAGCTTTTCTCTTTCTTTAGGTTCTTGTTTGAAAACATACCTGTATAATCTTTCCAGGCAGAAGTACATGTACGTATATCTCTCTTCATACCTGATTTCGTCAGCCAACAAACTACAAACTATTATGGAATTTCTGCATATTTTACTGACTTCCCCAAAAGGAGGGGGGGGGGGTTTACCGATTTCAAGAACAGACAGAACTAGTGTGCACACACCCCACATGCTCTCTATGAGTTTACCTCCAAAAGAAAACTATATTTAATATACATGTACATTGTAGTTCATGAACTTGTACTTCAAATTTCGTCGATCATTCATCATACAAAAGAGAGGATGCACTATGATACAACTCTAGCACAAGCAGTTTACCACGCACTACACTGATTTTACTAGACAAGACAAGAGAATTAAAACCTATTTCCTTATGTATTTAAACTTTAAAATTTCATAGTATAGTCTTTTGAGTGCTCTGAACAACGATACCTGCAGAATTTTCTGTTATTACCTGACATTTCCTCATGCATGTTTTAAATGTCTGCATACACTGTTAAGTACGAAGGAAGATTGCGCTTTATACTTCCTACTTTCCACCTGAATTAGATGGTAACCGAGACAGTGGGAAATAAATATTCTGAGAAAGGAAGTTAAGAATATCATTACTCATTAAAGTCGGTGCATTTCACGTCTTTTTCACGTCTCTGCAGTTAATATGCTTGAAGGGACGGGATCGATTTTGGATCCCCCCTTCAGAGGGCCGTAGCAGCGGTTACAAAAGTGGAGGAGGGGGCAACCTATGCAAAAAAAATCTGACAAGGAAAAAAAACCCCTAAAATTATAAGTGTGGATATTTTGGAGTGGATATGGACACCCCCCTTGGAAATGAGATCCGCCCATGATATCCGTTCAAAATATCCCCACATTCCCGCCTAACCTGCGTGTTTGCTATTTTGCTTTTGGACGTTTATTCGCAACAAAAGAAAAAAAATCATATTGTTTTACACAATGTATATTTTCATCTAATGAGATTGGTTATAATATAAACTTCGATGTTAATAAAATAAACACACAAAAAGTGGTTCTTTGGCACTGTAAGTGCATATTTTTCCACTCTAAAAACATAGTGATTATTTAAATTGCTAAATTGTTTTTACTTTGAATATGAGTAAATGATCAATGATAGAGACTTTGAGTGACTGGTTTCCGATATAACTTTTCATGAACGAAATCGTTTCCTCAATATAATGTTTAAAAGTATTTATTCTTATTACAGATATCTTCTTTATGAGAAAATCTATTCGAACGTCACTCCTCTCTTAGCTGTCCAAAAGCACAGGCAACACCAAATTAAATATTGCCCAGATTATCCTTGTTGTTGGATCAGGTTTATTTATTCATTCATATAGAAGTTACCAAGATCGAGTTTACAGTAACTTAGTTGTCTTTCCTATAATAACTTATTTCGATATTAACATTTAGCCAATAAATTAGTTTCATTCTTTTTCTGAATTTAACATTGTCAAACTCCTTATTAAAGTACAAATATTACACGGGATATTTCTGCCTCTTAAGGGCAAACTCAAGTGATTCTCAGTGTGAAAAAGGCTATTTCAACCGCCCGTTTTGTACCATCTTCACCTTGGTGGTTATAAGGAAATTAGCTCAACATATTCGAAATAGTTTCCATATCAATTGTAAACTCATACAAAGAGTTTCTACTAAATTTTGGTATTCTTATTTAAAGTTTTATGCCGCTGAGTGTATGACACTGAAATACCAAATCACAATGACTATGCAAGCTTGCACTCCAGTCACAATTTTAACCTTTTATGAAGAGAAGACGGAAGTGATCGTGATTAATGCAGAGGAGGAGCAGAGTAGTAATCACTTATAATGACGGACTACAAACAAACAAGTCAATGAGACACAGTACTCTTGTACTTCTTGTAACATTTACAAGTGTTTATTCACAACTTAATCACGGAACAAATGTTGAAAGTACAAATTTACACCAAAGTTTATCTGAAGTCAAGAAATTTAATACATCCATTCATTTAACTAAACTTAGCGGCTTTCATATAACAAATATGCATCAACGTACATGCAGAGTATCATATGTAAAGAAAATTATACAAGTATTGCCATTTTTAATCAGTCTAAACAATGAACGCATAAATGCTCAAAAAAGAGAAGAAAATTCAATTTAAGGAGTTGAAATAACTTGCTTATATTTAATTGTACATTAAAAGCATGGTGCGCTAATCTTAGTTTACTATATCGTCTTGACTATGTAAAAAAAACCTTAATAATAAACATTGCAATTAAACGCATAGAGAAATAAAGATTTATTCTCTTTGATTGCAAATTTAATTTAATAACTTGTAGTATTCCAATCGACAGGTTTTAGTGTGAAATTGTATTTACATCATAACAGATTGAAATCACCCTCATTTTCCTGTAAGGTACAGGTAAATCTACGGAAGCCGGTAGGTGCCAGGTAGAAAAAATATATTGGCGACCAGAAAAAATATCAATATTGACCTCGGCTTCGCCTCGGTCAATATTGATATTTTTCTGGTGAATAACAAACCATATTCACCACCAAAAGAGTCCATAATTGTATGTAATTATCTAGCGGCCGCCAGATTAGTTTCTGGCGGCCGCCAGAACTATTTGTTTGGCGGCCGCCAAAAAATTATATGGCAACCTCCACATAATTATCTGGCAGCCGTCAGTTAAATACTTTTTCTAACTGGGACACATTTATTACATAACAGAAAAAAAGATTCACAACCTCTAAACATGCCATGGGAATTATCAAAATATCGTAGTCATTTCTATACTTATATGTATCAGGGCATCTACAACTAAAAGATACGCGTATGCATATGTCGGCAGTAATGTTTTATTTTCAGGGAAAAGGAATCTTATCTACCTCAGGAGTGACAGTACAACCATATAACTTGAAGATCAAACATGGATACATACAATACAGCTCTGAATTCTACAAAAAGATGGAAAAACGCGAATTTGTATAGGCTGTTACCTGGAGTAAACATAATTTTTGTTTCTGAAAACTATTACACGTACTGTTAAATATTCTGTATTTTTTTCGAAAATTATGTGCATTTATGTTCTATACTTCATCACACAGCACAATGATGTTAAAGTAATAAAACGCATATCACTTTTGTCATATAACAACTGTAATGGGTAGAAATCTTATAATTAAATTCGACTAAGTGTTTTTATGGAGGGAAAAAGTAGGTCATTTCAGACATTTATCTGTCAAGTATGTACAGCTTCTAAAGGCCTTTTTATCTCAGGACATCTAATTCACTGACGTACCAATTTCTGTACCTTAAACATATTGAAGCTAACATGAAGCCTACGATGTTGGCGAGAAGAGTTGAAAAATGTCCACCGATAAACACTGACATTAGATTAAGAGGGATTGATTATAAGTAAACATCCGGCTAGCATGTACTGCCTAGAGAAAAATCCCCAATTTTTTACACTGTCAGACAAAACTCGAAAATAAAAGGATTTCGAAAACAAGAAAAAGCAACCATATTCAATTAAAAAAAAGGTCTTCGTTCTTGTTCAAATAACAGTCTTCTAACCCTGATATAAGAATCCATTTCATTAATTATCACTATATCCTGATAAGAGACACACCAGCTGAAAGTTATGGTTTAAAAAAAACTAAAATGATCCAATACCAGACAAATAACAGCCAAAACGAATAATGAAGCATAGTATTATATGTCTAAAAAACCCTATAAGTTATGCTTGTGATTCTTCTCTATAGCTTGATTTGTCTGTTGTTAAAGAGGACGGTTCACTTTCTGGTGTTTCCACAGGAGTTCTTTCACTTCTCTGGTAAAACAATGTCCCTGTTTTTGGCTCTGGTAAACAATTTGGATCCACATCTATATTTGCATTTGGGTCTACAGGTTTGCTACCTGTCAGTAAATCTACAAACATAGTGATATATTAGAGTTTAATTTAGTTGTATAGTAAAATATGTTCCAAATTTTAACAAAATAAGTAAAGACAAGGAAATTCAGAAAATGTTACTGATTCGTTTTAAGAATTACAATGTCATGAAACAGGCTGCATACCTTTGGACATCGTCGGATACCCATGGGTGATCTCGTCTTTCATTCATCACCCGTGGGTATCCGACGATGACCTTTGGACTACCAAATAAAAAAAACGTATTCGAGTGATATTTCTGGATTTGCAAGTATATATATCTAACTCTTTGCTCGTTATTCCACATAACAAGCATTGCGTAATATGTAATTATCGAATTGGATCACTTAAAAGTTTATTAATTTTGTTCATTTTTTTTTTCTCTCCTCTCCTCCCCTATCAATTGTTTCATGAGGGAACTTTTACGGAGCAACTCATTAGACTAATGACTTATCTAATGACGACCACTCCTAAAAATATAATAATCTTTACATATGTGACCGGTCGGCAGGGGATGCTCACTCCTCCACGGCACCTGATCCCAACTCTGATGTTTTAGAGGTCCATGTTTGCTCTGCTCCAAAATTTGTATTGTTTAATGGACTTTTGAGCTTGAATACTGTTCGTTATCTCCATATACATGTATTTCATGAAGACACTGAAACAGGAATATATATTGTTTTGTATTGCTGTTTACTGTTTGTCTTTTGAAATTACCTATACGCCCTTTGGAATTAAGTTTGGTTTATTAATGTTCCATTTATATTGCATTTGGTTCATATTTCTTCAAGTCTGCCTATTGTTATGCTACAAATATGATGATTTATAGTATGATAAAAACTTACTGTGCAAATGTATCTTTTTTCGTTCGTATTCCTGGTTAAGTTTTGTTACCAAGAAAGTCTGTGTTCCATTTTTTAAAATTGCGTCCACTAGTCCCTTATAACACATTGGTCCCTTTTGGAGCAAGATGTCCAGGAATTTCTCAGCTCGTTGTCTTCTTGATATTTGAAATTTTATCACCTCCTCATCCTCCGCTGTCAGGAGATGCTTAGATCTCAAGTAAGCAAAGTGATTTTGAGGATCGAGGTATTTGCAAAGGTAAAATCTCTGTTCTTCTAAAATCTGGAATAAGGCAGGGGGAAAAAATCTATTCAAGTCTATATATAAATATAATATATATACATGTATTAAGCTTTTTCTTTAAATTTTGTTTAAAAAAAAAAACAACTAAATTTACTTCTAAACAAGGGTCTGTTAATTGTAATGAAAAAAAGGGGGAGGGGAGGCGTTGGCTCTCAATGCCGGTTTAATTGATGATGTTAATAAAAACAACTGTGTAAGAATAAACATATTTTTTTCCATTTAAGATTAAACGTTGTGAATATGTCAAAGACAACAGTATGAAACAAAATTGAAGTGAATCCATGGATATGATTACTTTGCCAATATCAAACTGAACAACATTCTTTGAAAGCCTTATCTATAGAATACTTCTTCAATGTTAAATCATTTCTGTTAATTAAAAAGTTTCTTCGACATGCTAGGAAAGCATCGAATCCTGACATTCTTTTTACGTTGGGGATTATATCATAAGCTTTGCTGTTGTAGGCCTACCAGGCGCGTAGCTGCCTATACGCAAATACGCAAGTGCGTACACATCATTTTCAGAAAAACAAAGAAAAAAAAGAATAGAAAGAAAAGAAAAAAGAGAGCATTATTCGGAGAAAAAAAATCTCAGTACCATCCAACAAATATTCGTGTTTCAAATTATTCTGTGTCATACTGTGTCGATTTAAATTTTATATTATCATGGCTGTATGATAAAATTTGCTTTTATTTAATAATTGCAAAATCCAAATAAACCATTCATTATTTTGCCATTGTTCTATCATACATTGATATATATATATTTTAAAGAAAAATTAAATTTCAGCCACATCGTTGAATGCTATGATCTACTAGTATGATTTACAATACGATATTTTTTTCTTCGTAATTAAAATTTTGTATAAATGTTTTTAAACGTTAAGAAAGATTATATGATACCAGTTACTATATAGGTTAAATTTTTAGCCTCAATTATATGTACAATAAGTTTCCATGGAATATTAATATTCGTTAAAACAATAAATATTACCATGACTTTTATTCCCTAAACAAAAACTAAATGGCATAATTTTTTATATTTCAAGAAAATGAATGAAATATTTAGAAAAAATTCGGAGCTTCTTGGCTCTCACCAGCAGGCACGTAGTATCAGGGGAGCCTCCTCCCCCCAACTTATTCCCAAAACCTAACCTTTTACTATTAAAAATGTACATTGAAAGGGTGGACACCCATGTTTGTTGTACCGTTGTTAAATCATGGTAATTTGGTAATGTATTAATAAAAATTTGGTTTGTGAAAGTTGGACCCCCCTCTCAACAAACACACTCACACAAGAAATAGGACTTCGAATTTTTAAATCTTCCATTTTCTTCCTTGCTTGTCAAAATTCTTAAAGTTGTAATTTTTTCCTGGCTGGCAAAAACTATATTACGTGCCTGATCAGAGCCCTTAAACACTGGGGGGGGGGGGGGTCAAGACCCCCCAGTCAACCCCCTGCCGTTCTCTGCGTACACATCATTTCAATTCTGGCTACGCGCCTGCCTACATGCATGCCCAGTGAGTGCCCATATACAGTGATATAACCCCCAATGTGATAAAGATTCAGAAATTAAAATAATACTTACATTTAAGCTGACTTCGTACTGAATCTCTTCTTCTGATACGTTTTTACCATTCATTATGAATGGTATAAATTGTATCGCATTATCAGTTATTTGTTTCCAATACGTCAATGAGTGTTCGGTTCCTATTTGTTTACCATGCACTTCCTTGTACAAGTAAATGGGGTCATCGTGTAGTAAAATTTAAAATCCCATTTAAGATTAAGTGATGTAGTTTAAAATTCCGAATAAATACAAAACTGAATATAAAACTGAGAAACTTTTTATGCCCTACGTGAGGCATAAGAAAACAAACATAATTTAGATATGTTGAACGGAAATATATGAACAAACAAATATACAAGAGTTTACAGGTGTTGAAGGTAGTGAAATGTATAAAAATGTGACCTAACAATTTTGCAGTAAAATGTATTTACTTAATCTAGTGAGAACTTATTTCAGGCCCGTAGGAAGCAATTCAGTTTTTTTTGGGGGGGGGGGAGGGGGGGGCACGACCAAACATTTTTCAGTTGACATTTGAAGTGGCACTACCAAAAATTTCCTGACAAGCAAAAAAAATTGAGGGGGCACAAGCATATAGCAGTATCTATGCTTACTATAGTAATCTATATATTGGCAAAATTATGGGGGGGGGGGGGGCACGGCCCCCCGTGCCTCCCCCCCCCCGGTTCCTACCGCCACGTATTTGACCTGATTATTCTTAGATCAGGAAAACTAAATATAAATAACATTTTTGTTTTTGCATAAATCATGGGGGTAAAAATTTACATCTTTCTTGTTTAAAGTAATCTCAATTGAACAAATAATAAAACTCATCACCAAATTTTTTTTTTAAATAATTTAAAAGATAACAAATTCATTCACTCCTTTTAATGCTATAAAACCTAACAATTTCAATTTGGGAGTCCATGACTACAATGTACCACATCTGCAAAATGTATACACAGGCCCGATGGGAGCATGTTCAGTTTTTTGTTTTGTTTTTTTTTTTTGGGGGGGGGGGGGCACAACCAAACATTTTTCAGTTGACATTTGAATTGGCACTACCAAAAAGAGGGTGTTGCACAAACTCGTGATTATTCCCTAAATATAGATAATGCTACGTAGATGACTTTATTTATACAGCGGGAATGTCCAGCTTGTTATAACAAAACATTTCACATCTTATGTTTATATCATGCATAGTTTTTCCTAACATAGACTGGTGACCTGTAAGTAAACTTTTTTTCACATCTATGGTCACTGTCGCCATATTGCACGAGAAAAGTTAGAACAATAAAAAGCACAATAAATGGCAAGTGCACCTCGCAGATCAATTTGAAAGATGTACTGTAAAAAGTGTGCGTTAATATTTTTCAATATATAAAAATGTGTCCAATTATTACACTATTGATGCAATATCCAAGAAATTCCATTGAGTCATTTCAGTTCAGTTGTTTCAAGTCAAATGTGAGCCACTAATTAACAAAACAATAATGAAACGAAATGCGTATGAATAAATTAAATTATTTTAAAGGATAGTACTTTATTTTTTAAGACATTGCCACTAAATAATAACATTAATATATGTCTTATTAGTTTTAGATCACGATATCAAGGAAATCAATTAAATTCTGCCTGCATTTCAAATATTACCCATCAACGTTCTAACATTCTCTCCCTCTCTTTCTCTCAAGAGAGTTGTTACATTGTACTTCCATTATAGTGTATAAGAAAAAAAATATGTATATACCAGCCATTCCAGGATTCGAACCCATTCTCAGGTAAAAAGAATCTTCGCATAGAGTCCACACGCTTTACCACTAGACCAGCTCCGACACTGTGATATCTTCTGCTATTTTATGTACACATTTTGCATTTCGGGTGGATAATAATTTAATTTTCTTCGATTTTTTTGATTTTCAAAAATATGCCTCTTTGAAACAAAAATCGGAAATGACAGTTTTGAAGAAAAATTCTGTCTCTTTATGCGTATATCAAATTCATTCTGTTTCAAGGAGGCAATTTTTCAGAACAATGGGGATTCCCTATTTGAAAAACAGAAAACTTGACTTATTTTGCTATGTGACTAATTTACACTTCTTTTTATTGCAAATTGGTAATCGATATGCATTTTGCAAGTATTGTTCTACATTGTGTTGTATATACTGTTGTATCTGAAAAAAATTTAAGACCGTTTTCTGTTACTTAATTTTTTTTCTTTTAGACTGCTACACCTTTAGGGAAAATAACAAAAGAACTGCAACACCCTCTTTCCTGACAAGCAAAAAAAAAAAAAAAAAAAAAAAAAAAAAATGAGGGGGCACAAGCATATAGTAGTATCTATGCTTACTATAGTAATCTATATATTGGCAAAATTATGTGGGGGGGGGGGGCACGGCCCCCGTGCCTCCCCCCCGGTTCCTACCGCCACGTATTTGACCTGATTATTCTTAGATCAGGAAAACTAATAACATTTTTGTTTTTGCATAAATCATGGGGGTAAAAATTTACATCTTTCTTGTTTAAAGTAATCTCAATTGAACAAATAATAAAACTCATCACCCTTTTTTTTTTAATAATTTAAAAGATAACAAATTCTTTCACTCCTTTTAATGCTATAAAACCTAACAATTTCAATTTGGGAGTTCATGACTACCACATCTGCAAAATGTATACACAGGCCCGAAGGAAGCATGTTCAGTTTTGTTTTTGGGGGGGGGGGGGGGCACAACCATGTATTTTCAGTTTAAGTGGACACAATAAAGCAAACAAACAAAAAAATCCTGATAAGCATAAAAAAGGTCATCAGACGTAATGTATTAACATGTATGTAATTACTAGTATATTGAAGGGGCACATCAGTAAAGTAGCCTTTTTTCTAAAGTATATATTGGCAAAAAATACGGCCCCCGTAACCTCCCCCCCCCCGGGTTCCGACGACCATGGATTTACAATAAGATTTAAAGGAACGCACAAAAATACTTTTTTAAAGCTAGTCTTATAATCTCTATATATCAAACACTTTGTAAATTATGTATTAATATTTTGATTTTTCCATTCATCAATTTATATCATTTTGTACAGTATTTCTTCACAGTTTTAGAAAATTTAATGACAAACTGATTTCTCTAACAACTATCATAACCACATATAATTACAATTTATACCTTTTTGAATGATGAATATCAGCAACATCGTCTACATACAATATATAAATTCATAGTGTTCTCGTTTGCCTGTTGTTTCCCTAAAACCAAATATTTCTTTCTTTATGTATAGAATGACAAAGTTACTCTCCCTGGTTCTCCGTATACGAGGGTTATTAGAAAAGTTCACGAACATTTTACTGTGGGGGCGCTATTCGCATGAAGCCAATAAAAACAATAAACTTTTTTTCTAATAAATATAAAAAAAAAAACTTGACGTTTTTCAATTATCTTTGAAAATATACAGCTACAGCACATCTATATCATAATGAAATATATGCTTCAAGGAGCAGATGTCACTTTTTCATGCACGTTTTCATTACAGAGACAATATTTTAAATTTTTACGATGTTTCACCTGTCTTTACAATACAATTAAACTCATTTGGCGAAATTCCGAGCTAAATTGGAGAGGGTTTGACTGTTTTACGCTAATTTTAGATGATTGATGCACAAAAACGAACTCAAGAATAACAACGTCATTTAAATTTTTATTTCATGTATTTATTTTATTTATTTATTTATTTATTTTTTAAATTTAGATTTACATTTAGTAGATTTAAAATCTTTGTACATATACTAGTATGTCATCTTCAGACCACTATATGTTAGATATTTCTTAAATTTATGAATATTTTTATTCTAAAGGAAATTATACAACTCTTTTCAAAAGCACCTAAGGCTTCTTCTCTAGTATTTGGCAAAGTTAAGACTAGATAATTTAGTTTAGGAATTAATTATGTTTTTATTACAGTAAATCTTCCAATAGGAGTGAGCTTCCGAGTTTTCCATTGTGTTTTTTTTTATTTATAATTCATATATACCATCTCATGCAAATTAACGGAAAACTTAAACCCTAAAATTTTTTTTAAATGAAAAATAAATTAACAAAAAAAAAAAAAAAAAAAAAAAAAAAAAAAAAAAAAAAAAAAAAAAAAGATTTCACGCGACATAATTTTGAGTTATCTCTCTTTGATAATAATAAAGATAAAGTTTCTTGGAATAATAGTTTTTAATGTTGACATTTTTAATACTTCTACTGCAGATTTTTTCACACTTTTTTTCTTTTCTTTTCAATCTTTATTTGATATGTTCTTTATGTATATATTCTTTATGTCTTCATATTCTGTCTTTATATATATTCTTTATGATAATTCTGAAAAAAGGTACAATTACTGTCATGATTTGGGGAAAGTAGGAACCTTTGCCAGTATCTTAGTAGACTGAATTGCTAAATACGATATCCGGAAGGAAAAACATCATTCAGAGGGAATTTTATGGAATGATAAATGTTCATGGGACCAATCTGCTGAGATCTATTAATCGGAATTGGAGAAGATGCATAGGAATAGTTCTTTTTTTTTTTTTTTAACAAGAAAATTAGCTGAGCAATAATTAATCAGAAACCACAGATAAAAATAAAGTTATGTTTAATTGATATTTAAAAAATATTTCAATTCTTTCTCAAATTCCATTAATTATGACTTACCCGAAGAATAATGCAGGGATTTTGAAATGTAAATCACATTTGCAGTAAAGGCAAGAGTTAAAAAAAATGTAAATATAAGCATTAAATCATTTTTTTTTAAAGATATACATGTACATGTAGTCTCATAATTGCAATGGTGTGTGCAAACACATTTTCATAACGCGATGACGCGTAACTTAACGCGCGTTACTCAATTTGTTTGCACACACCGTTGCAGTTATGAGACTATATCTTTCAAAAAATAATGATTCAATGCTTAAAAAAAATTGGCATGCATAATCATAAGCATGTTCTATAAAAAGCATATGTAATATAATATTTTGCTTGGTGTTTATGACGTCACAATGTAAAAATGACGTCATTATATATATGACTTTTGACAAAAAAGTGGTTGATTCAGTCCTATTCGAGCAAGGAACTGCTGTAATGTTTTACGTGAAATATGGAGATAACAAATAGTATTCAAGCTC